AAACTTCAACAATAAATACCTATTTTTGCCTTAAAATATGTCTCTCTTAAATTAGAATACAAATAAAACACAGACATCCTTGACTTAAAAAATAAAATAAAGCACACAGGGCAGTCATTCCTCTTTTTATTTGCAGCTGTTCAATGGCCCTTAACCAGGGAGGGGCACTTCAGCAAGATCCTAGTGAACTTTGTACCGAAAAAGCTCTGCGAAGTGGGTGCTGGGTCCTGCCCTTCCGCTGCATGGGTGGCTTTTGCTCCGGGCGGGGACAGGGATTTGACAGGATGGACCACGCCCTCAGGCAGAGCTGACTCCCCGCGCTCAAACCTGAAGCCAAGTCAGGCCTTGCAAACCACAGGCGCCACTCGGATGTCCATTCGCTCGCTTATTAAACAAATATTCACCCACGGCCCCAGGCCCTGGGGACATAAAGATGAAGTGTCTCCTGGCAGGGGTGACGCATTAAAATGGGGCACAGAGGCAGTAAGTGAATACGTTACAACAAAAGGTTAGATGTGACCAGACAGAAAAGAAGCGGGAAGGAGCCTGAACAGGGATTTGCCAGGCGTGGGGGGCTGCGCAGGGAAGGCCGTGGCTTTGGGAGGTGGGGGAGAGGAAGGGGCTAAGGAAGAGCTCTGTGCTGAAGTTCCTCCCCACCCTGAGGGGTCCAGGCGGGTGGTGCTTCCTCCCGCCTCAGGGCCGGTGCGAGGACTTCCATGAAGCCACGAAGAGCCTGCGGCGGCTCCTGGATGGAGGATGTGTTTCCTGGTGTGGAAAATGATCCCCAAATGGGCGAGGGGCAGGGCTGTACCCGCAGGCAGTGTCCTCCCCAGTGAGGGGAAAGGCTGACGGAGGCGGGGGCCACAGGAGAGGCACGGCCTGGCACCCCCAAATTCTGACCAAACAGGGCCTCTGAGAATGGGCGGGACCCCTCCAACAAGTCTGACCGGAAGACGCCCCAGGAAAACCGGAGGCCGAGGGAACAGAATCCATCATCTGCGTGTGAGAAGTGCCAGCAGAGGAGCCTCTGAATCAGTGAGGAGAGCCGGCCGCAGTGACCAGCAGGCCCGGGAAGCTCTGATCCACTCATTCATCCAGCACGCAGTGGCTGAGCACCTACCCGTGCGGGCTCAGCTCCAGGCCTCAGCAGATGTCCGTGAGCAACTGTGAAGCAGCAGTGGGGGAGCGGGCCGGGCGAAACAGAGGACAGCATGGATGTGTGACTCACGAGGCATGGCAGAAACAGACATGGGGGGTGAGGAGCAGGGCAACACGGGGGGCGTAGATAGTTAAATGTACACACACTCACACACACACACACATTTTATATATATATATATATATATATATATATATATATATATATATATATATATATTATTTTTATATATTTACATATTTTTTTCCCACTTTTTTAACAGGGTAAGGGTGCTGGGAGCTGTGAAGTTGTTTAACTTTGGATTTGAAGTAATTTCAAACCTACAGAAAAGTTATAAGAATATTACGGAGAACTCCCATATGTATACACATATGTATATAAGTATGCATCGAAATAGTCTCCATTTGTTATCAGTATGGCTTACAGATTATTTTACTGAATCAACTATAACCATAATCCATTACTACCCATTGTATGTTGACTATCAAATTTCTTTTAGCTCATCTTTACTTTTTAGCACCGGATTTCCCAGGCTGCCCTGGGGAGCAGCCATTTCCCCAGGGAGCTCCCTTCACCAGGAAGGAAACCGAGGCGTGGGCTCAAGTGTCCGTCCCTAGTACTACTACTTGCCTCTATACCCTTTTTGTGTCTCCCGTCCTGTTCCTATAAGAAGTGGTTTTCTTAGCAGTTAACAGCCTCTCCGCTGCTCCCACGTGCTCCTGGCTACCCACGGGCTTGCCTCCTGTTCATACCCTTTCTTACATCCTCCAAATCTCTCCCGATTGCATCGCTGACACCTCATCTTCTTCCTGTTGACCCCGTTTTTCTCCTTCCCTTCACAGCCAAACACAGTAGAGCTTTCTACAGGCCTAGCTCTAGGCGCCCATCTCCAGTTCTTTCAAGCCACCTTCAGCAGGCTTCCTGCCCCATCTGTCCTCCGAAACTGCTCTTGTTGATGTCATTTCTGTCTCCAAGTCCTTTCAGCAACATTTGGCAGCTGACACTTTCCTCCTCCCTGGCCTTTGTGATGTCACCTTCTCCTGGTTCCCCTCTCACGTCACTGGTAGCCCCTTCTTTTCTTTCACTAGCTCCTCCTCCTTTGCCAACCCCTAAACGTTGACGGGCCCAATAAGGACCTCTGACCCGAACCTCATTCTGTTCTCTCGACGTGTGATTTTAAATACCATCCATGCATCTTGGATTTCCAAAAGTGTGCCTCAAGCTCAGACCTGAGAGCCAGACTCTCATCTTCTCCTGGATGTTTAAGAGATGTCTCAAAATAAGACGCGGGGCAGACACTAGCTAGTTCGCCACATCCTTTCCGCCGTGAGCTCCCAGCTAAGCATTGCCTGGCTTCCCTTGCAGCTAGATGTAGCTCCACAGCAGCGCAGAGTCACAGAATTGGAAGAACTTGGACTCAATAAATGCATAAAACACCACCCACTTCATACACACATTGAACTGCTTTTTTATGAACAAGAAAATAAAAATCTATTGTGTTCAGCAATTGCTATCTTGAGGTTATGTGTTCAGTAGCAGTCAGCCTATCCTGACTACTACAGATGTCCAAACGTGAACTTCACTCTCCCACCAAGTTTCTTCTCCCAGAAAACTCCTCAACCTTGGTAATTCCTTGGTCATTGATACCGTTCTCCATTCTACTGCTTGAGACAGAAGCCTTGACTTCTTTCTTTTCCTCGCCCACACGTCCAGCCCACAAGCGAGGTCTCGAGTCCATTTCTGTTTTATTCCAGACTTGCTAAAGTAACGAACAAAACCAAACTCACAGCAAGCTGTGGTAGGTATTGATGTGTCACACACAAGCCTGCAGCACGGCTAGGCCTGGCTGACCTCGGATGGGTTCAGGCAAGTCTGGCTCCAGACTGCAAGTCAGGTTTGGGTCTGCAAGCCCGGGCTCATTCCGGGACTCCAGGGCGAAGCCGCAGTGGCTTCCTGAAACATGACCTTTTCATGGCAGGCGGCAGAAGCACAAAACAGACGACAAAAGTTTTCCAGGCCTCCGAAGGCTTCAGGTTGAAATCTCAATCACAATCTGCGATTACCTTGTTTTTGACAAGCTATTATCCTGCAGTGTAAGCTCTATGACTGCCTGGCCTCTAGTAGGCACTTAAAAAATTTACTCAATTAACGTTAAATAAGAGAATTCTGGAAAAGACACTTGAGGCTAGATCGTGCAGGATGCTGAAACGCCCTAAGAGCCTGGACTTCATCCTACGGTCTGCTTTGACGTGAGGTCTGCTTTAGAAAGGGGGCTGGGTGACTAGTTTTGAAAGAGAAGCCAGTGAAAGGGTTACTTTAATTGTCCAGGTCAGAGGAGACTGAGGGCCTAAATCAGGGCAGAGGGAGTAGAGGCTGCTTTGAGGCAACCTCAGTAAGAATCGGTAACAACAGCAGCATTCGTTTATTTCCTAGGTGCCCAGACTCTGTGCTGTCTTCACAACAGCCAAACAAAAAGGTGTTAGTAGACTCGCCTTGAAGACAAAAAGGCGAAACGAGTCTCAGAGAACTTGGGCCACTTCCCCCAGAACCACAGGTAAAGCAATGGCTACTCTGGAATTCCGCGGCAGGACGGAGCCCCAGGCCCAAGGGTGATGCCAACTGTCTACGAAAAGCACGTTCGCTGAATGTGCACAGGGGGGACGGGAAAGGTGGTGAACGAGGCGCTGGACACCCCGCGGGTGGGAGCCGGTAACACAGGAAGCGGTTCTGCACGGAGCAGACCCGGCTCCGGCCGACCTGCTGGCCGGGGGCTCCCTGCGAGGCTGTGCGGCCCCCTCAGGAGGGCGGAGCTGCGGTCCTGCCCCCACCGTCCCACAGACCAGCGCCTGCGGAGGCCCTGGGTCACGCGGCCTCCTTGCGCCGAAGCAGAGACGAGAGCACGGGGATGGCGGGAGCTGCTGGAACAGCAAGAGCCCTCAGAGGGCGCCTGGATGTGCGGACGTGACAGCGCAATAAGACGGACCCGACGCCCGGCCTGGGGCCGCCTGAGCTCCAGGGCCCGGGCCTTCCGCGCACTGCTCGGCTCCCGAGCGCGCGCACGGCGGGGAGAAGGCCCCCCGGCACGCAGAGGACGCGGCGCGCAGGGGTCAGGGCGGGCCGGGCTCACGGCGCTCGGAAGCAGGCGCCGCTCCTCCGGCCGCCCTGGCCTCGGGCCTCGCTCACGACCCTCCCCGGGCAGGACGCGGGCGCAATCGGGACCCCGCTTCACGGTCAGCGGCCTGGTGTCCCCCAGGCGGGGCTGCTGTTTCCGGAAACAGAACCAGGAGGGCGGGACCCTCAGCCCGCGAGAGAGGGGCGCGGCCGGGCGCGGCCGGGCTTGGCTCCGGCTCTCGGCAACGGACAAGGGGCAAAGAACCTCAAACAGTCCTACTGACTAGTTAGGGGGCCGTGCAGGTCCTAGATCCCTAAAGCCCTTCACGCTGACACACGCGAAGCCTGCCGCAATCGCCTCACCCACGTGAAGGGGCGTTTCTCCTTCCGCGCACGCGCTGTGCAAACCTGCAGCTAGACGCAGGCTACGGTGGCTCTGCTGGGGATAAATTATGAACATGCGACCGTTCTGCAAATACAATTCAAGAAGTATACATTGGCGGGGACAGTTTAGGAAGGCGGCCACGAAGACATTTACGGGCGGGATTAGACAAACTTGGGAGTGTGAGGGGTAAATCAGTGGATAACCCTGAGAAGGAAGAAAACTCAGCCTCCGCCTAACAACCCGAGCCTGGAGCTTGGAGCGGGCACTCGGAAGGCGCGCCCCGGCCCTCAGAGCCCGATCTTGGGGGCGTGGCCTCACGTGGCCCCGGGGCGGGGCCTGCTGTAGGCCACGCCTCTCCCGGTCCTGGCCTTAGGTGCCGCACCCACACTTCGCTACGCAGCTGCGGTTTGCACCAGCCAAGCGGAGGTGACCCAGGTGAGTTACCGCACCTGCGGGCAGGGAGGCGTGTGGGCCCTGGGCCCTCGGAGGCACCTCAGCTCCTGCGCTGGGCACCGCCCGTATCTCTGCCATCCGGAGTGGACTAGGGACTCGCTCTCTCTACCCGTTCTGGTCTGTCGATGTCTTTGTACCTTTCCATCCCCTTCGCCCTCCACCTGCCCTGCATCCTCCCCAGGACAGGGTGGGTTTGCAGGGTCTAGGCCGGGCCGCTTGGCTACGGAACTCAGGGAGATTGTCAAGGTCAACCCTCCATCTGTCCCTCCCTTCCCTCGCCTCCGCTCCGGGGCTGTGCCTCCGGAGCCCGCCCGACCTTGCCAGCTGCAGCTCTGGCGCGGAGGATGGGCGGGCAGGCACTGCAGGGCAGTGGGCAGTGCAGGCCCATCCATAATACCGCTTGTAAAGCAGCCGGGAGCACTGCGCCCGCTGCGGAGGTGGACATGTTGCTAGGGACCTTCCGGGAGCTCCCAGGGGCCTTGTGGGGAGCCCCCTGGGGAGCTGCATTTGTTTTCCTCCCGACGCACAGAAACGTTCGTCATATTGGAACAGTTAAGTGGTCACTTCCTACCTCTGCCTTAGAGCAGGAAACTCCGCAGGGAAGGAGGTAGAATCCTCATTCAAGGTTCTGCCTTGGATTTCTGAGAACTTGCCCTCTATCTGGTGTCTGCAGGGAGCATCCAGCCACCGCGGAGGGGCGGTTGCAGGGCGTGGATGGGCCTGGAGACTCGCTGGTGAGTCATCCCCCGAGCTGTGGCTTCTCCTAATAATTTCCTTGGGAGTCAGAGTTTACGAGCTACATTGTCGCTTAGGGGGACATTGTGCGTGTGGGAAGGCAGGTGAAGAGGAAGCAGACACAGGAGGGTGGGCAGGAAAGGGGCGGTGGGGTTGGGGCTTCAGTTCCCAACCTGGAGGAAGGGGGTCCCGGAGAGAGGACACTTACTGCTTTGCAGATGGATGGTCTTTGCAGGTGCGCGGAAGAAACTAGGCGTGGTCATGCGGGACCTCCGCGGATTTCAGATTCCTCTGTGCGTGGGGGCTGGAGCGAGGGCTTCTAGTGGGAGACCTGGAGATCTGCCAGCCTGCAGTGTTGGGAGGCACCCAAGGTTATTGGTCAGGGTGACAGGCTACACTTCAACGAATTCAGTTCAGTGGGTTTAGTTCCATGGATTTGGTTCGCGAGTATCTGAGTCGGGGGATCAAGAATGCTTATCCTCACAGGAGTTAAATGTAGCTGAGTTAACTAAAACCAGCATCCAAAATCCAAACAAACACATTTCGCTCCAGCAAGACCTTCTGTTAAGCTTCCCTTCTGACACATTGTTACAGAAATAGAAAACTTTGTCAAGCATCTTTTTTTCCCATGTTACTATATATAGGTAGAGACGCGGTGGACAGCCATGGAAACTGCACTCCTGGGGCTTCCTGGAGAAGGCTGGCCTAGCTTTCGGGGGAGACCCAATCCTGAAAGGATTAGATAGCAGAGAATGAGCATACACGAAAGAAGGGCTTTACCCCATTAGCCAGAAAAATGCTGAAAAGCCCCAGGGACAATCTGCAATGAAGGGGATGACAAATCAATCTGTCAAAAAGGAACTTAGTGCTAGCTGCACATAAGTATATTGTTCCCTATATTTATATTTAAATATTCTGAATCCATATTCAGAACACCATCAACCAAGCACAACTGACCATGAACCATTTCACATTTTTAAAGCAGTATTTGTTTAAGAGAATATACTGCTATGGTTTTGCAACTGAATTCATTAATACTCCTTATGAGTACTCCATCCTCCTGAAAAAGAATTCAGCAGCTGTCCGGCTGGTCGTTGCTGTGTAAAATGGAAGTCCCGAGGTGTCCCTTCCTCTCTTACAGCGTCTGCCTGTCTTATCGATCTACCTGTCATTTGGGGAGAAAAGCAGTGAGGAGATGGGACACTGGTCCTAACTTCCAAATACATTTGCAAATACCCTTAAGGAGTCCAGCATTTGGAATCACAGGTCCCCCTGCTACCCTCTGAGTTCTTTCTAGAGTTGACCTGTTCATTAGCTGGAATTTTGGTACCTTAGTATGCTCTTTTTATAATAAGTGATATTTTATTCCTGCAGCCTGAGAAATGGGAATGATTGGTGCAGACAGGCATAAAGAGTTACACCCCGTCTCAGGCAGGAGCTTGGCAGGTGTCTCCTTTACTCAGAATGGCTGGTTCCCCAGTGGGGACTCTGCAGCTGCTGAGAGTTAAGCGCTGTCAGCCCATGTTTCTTGTGATGGGAAATCCAAATGGTGTCAGTGTGACCCATTCGAGATTTTTTTCCCTCTTCTGGAAATCAGACCTGAGTGTCCCTATAACCCCTCGGTTCCTGTGTAATGCCCATTAAGGGACAGGTTATGTGGAAGTCATGACGTAAAAATGTAGTGCCAATTTCGGTGTTGCTTTGCTCCTTGCACACCTGTATACCTAAAAGATTGGAGGATGTTTTTCTCCTTCCTGTAATCTCCACTCTTCTGTCATACTGCAGTGCTGACACTCAAAAAAAAAGCTCACTTTTGGACCTGTTCCACGTTTTCTTTTTTTTTTTTTTCCATTTAGAAAGATCTCAGGCTTTAACCAGTCACAGACTTGGAGTTAATTATTAGTTTTCTACTCTTGCTAATATGCTCAGAGAGGTTCTGAGGAGGTAGAAATATTTCAGGAGAGGTCAGGTGTGGTCAAAGGTGACTCCAACCTCGTTGAGAGGCAAGACAGCCAAGGCCTGAGAGCCAAGACCCTGGAGCTAGGCTGCCTGGCTGTGTGCGAATCCAGGTTCTCTCTGTGGTAGCTGTGTGACCTTGGGCAGATGACTTAACCTCTCTGATGCTGTTTTCTCCTCTGCAGAATGGGAGCAATAATATATCATAGGGATGCTGCGAGGGGATTATTGAGCTCATATTGGTGGACCAGTATTTGACACACACTAAATAATATATGTGCTAATAGTAAGCATTATTGATAACAATTGATTTCTCTTACCGCTCTTCTAGTCTGTCACCACCCTCCAGACACACGGGTCTCCAAGCACAGCCCTCGCCTGTCCCCACACCTGTGTACCTTCTGTGCTCGCTCCGTGTTGTCACATCACTGCTCTGTCCTGCAGAGCCCTCACCCCATCTGTCACCCTCCTGTTCCTTGGTCGTCCTGAGCTGGCTCCCTTCACTCGACTGTATTCTTCCTTCTCGGCCTGGTCACCACTGTGCCCTGCACCCCACATGGAGCATGGCATTTAGTAGGGGGCCGTCAGGGAGGGCCTCATTCTGTGGCCACACTGAAGAAGGTGGCAGGTGGCAGGCAAGCACCCCATTCAGGTAACATCGTTTGCCCTGCACTGGCCTCATCAGATCAGCTCCAGTTAATGACTTGTTGAGGTTTGTATTTTCTTCTGCGTCCCGTGGCTTCTCCCCATCCCCCCCTGCCTCTGACCCTGGCGACTTTCCTGTCCCTGAGATCACATCTCTGGGAGACTGGGCTCCAGATGGGCCAGTGTGGCCCAGGGCTTGCCCAGAGAGCCTTTTGGGTCAAGAATCTGTTTGGGAATATCTGTCATCACACCCGCAAGGGAACCTAGGATCTGTCCCGTCTTGTTACAAACCTGCTATTCGTAGATTCCTGAAATGCTGCATTACCAGGTGCCGGGGAGATTCGGTTCCATCCAGGCATGCTGTTCAGTCCTTGTCACGTAGAAGTCACGCTCTAGATAGGAGGCAGCAGGTCGTTTGCTTAACTGACCTGAACAGAGTCTGTGTCAGTGTAGGTGCGTCCCACGGACCAGGAACTGGCCGCTGAGCTTGCATCTTGCTGCCGTCTCTTTCCCCGCCCCCTCCCAGCACAGCAATGTGCTCATAATTCCCCAAAGTGTTGGAATTAAAAATGTGAAGCTTGAATCTTGTAAACGACCAAGTTGTGGCTATCTCACTGTAAAGCTGAATGTACATGGATTATAGCTGGGATCTCTAAGAGGGACAGAGCTGCCATCGTCCTGACAGCGTCAGCCTCACTTTCCCAGCTCTCTGCAGCCACACTGACGAGGGACTGAGGGACTCGAGGAGGTGCTGGGAAAACCCACTTTATGACCCACCCTGCTGTGCGCCTCACTGGGTTCTTAAGCAGGAGAAATAATGAACGGTGTGCCTGTGGAGCTATCTGTTCATTTGTGGTCCGTGGAGAAATAGCTACTAAATATCAGCGCTGCTGGGAGCGAGAGCTCTTTTTCCTCACCTGGCTTATTCCTTCTCTTAAATGTCCTTGTACGGTTTCTTAAATGTAGCTGTCATTTGGATCATTGACCCTCAAACAGATTTCACCATCTGTTTAATGCAGAAATGATCGGAAGTGGCATTTTGAAGGTATAGGATGGAATTACTTTTCTGCTGCGTCCCTCCGCGCTCTCAAATTTCTCCATTGAGTTTTATGTGGGCTCCAGAGGGTCAGCTGCCCTCCTGGAGATAATTTGGAGGCCTGTTCCTTTGTAGACACACCTGGAGGCAGGACTGAGGCTGGGCAGCTCCCCAGGGTGCTGTGAGCTGGCGGGCTAGACCCCAGCACGACCTCAGAACTTTCTGAACCAACTCCCCGTGCTCAGGGAACTCAGGGAAGTCCACTTGAAATGATCAGACCGGCCCTTCCAGTTACCCTCCTCGTGTCACTCGTGAAAATGTTGATTTTGTCATGTATAATCAGGACCGTACATAAGGAAGACTGGATTCATAGCACAGGCAGCCAGATCAGGATTCTCGCAAAATGCTGGGGAATGGCTCCCCGTTAATCTGTGAGTGCTTTCTCCTCGTCCTGTTCCTGGATGCGTAAAAAGTCGCCGGTGAGAGACTACAGGACAGCTTGACGAGAGCCATCTTGCAAATGGAAGTGGGGTCACCATTGTCCAAGCTGGCTTTTGTTTGTTTGAGCTGAAAGGGAAAATCTTCTCTCCCTTAAAACATCTGATTGATTTTACTTTAATGGATGATAAGTTATTGTCACTTCCTGGCTCAGAACTTATACAGCGCTTGAGGCAGCTGCCCAAATCCATAAAGCCTTCGCTTCCTCTGTGCCAATCGCGCTCCAGGGACTCTCTACTGACAGCCTGGGAGACCTGAGTAAACAGGAGAGCTTTCCCCCAGGAGTTTGCTGTTGACTGTGGTTCAGGGAGTTTTCTGGGTGACGCTTTGTAACTAAAGGAACCCTGCTCCAGTGAGATAAGGCGAGGGGTGGCCCAAGCCAGAAATGGAGGACAGGCTGAGCAAAGTGTAAGTGTACAGAGTGGCCATACTTCCAGGAGAATTCCTAGAGGCGAGTCCCTGAGCCACGTGTCACCCTGACACGCGTGTGGCTAACTCAGGCCCTGGAGTGGAGCACGCCTTCCAGGGGCGAGACCAGTATCGCCTCATTTCACGCCCAAGTTGGATCGCTCCCAATGGTGCCTTGTAGCTTCCTTGAAATCCACTGCTGCACAGAAGAGTTGATGCCCCAAGTGCTGTCCCACAAATCTCGAGGCCCCGTGGGTCACCTTCCCCTAGAAGCCCGCGGCACACCGCATGCAGCCTGGGGTGTTCCCGCTGCCCCCATCTTCCACACCCTGCCGGCTTCAAAACATTCTTGCCGGTTTTCTTCCCCCAACCTGATATGTCCTGAAAAAAATCATGTCTGGCTAGTAATAAATACTGTCATAAATAAGAAAGTTACCAATAAAGGTGCCGCTGTTTTTAAAAAATGTCCAAATAATTAGGTTTCTAAAGTATTCTCAAAAAGAGCATCTATAAAGAACCCACAGCCAACATCCTGTTTCATGGCGAAAGGGTGGGGGCTCCCCTCCACGATGGGGACAAGGCGAGGGTGTCTGTCCTTGCCACTTCTGCTCCACACTGCACTGGTCCCAGCCGGGCCATCAAGCAAGAAATAAAAGGCACCCCGACTGAACAGGAAGAAGTGCAGTGTGTTCGCAGGGAACGTGGTCCTGTGTGTCAAGTGCTCCCAAGGTCCTGTACCTTGCTCCCCAACACCCAGCTCTGCGCTCCGGCCCCGCCCTCCCCTTTTCCTGGAGAGGCTGGGCGGAGCTCCTGCACTGCCCCCGGGGTGTCTGCTCACGGCCCCCCACCTGGAGAAGGGGCGCTGGAACTCCCGGGCCAGGAGCAAAGAGCACTGCACAGGGTCAGACCTCAGCTCCGCACTCACTGGCTGTGGGGCCTTGGACAAGTGACTGGGTTCCCCTCTGCCCCCGTTTCCTGGTCTGTAAAACGGACGTAATAGCAAGCACCACATGGGATCGTGATGGGGGCCGCACTGGGTCTTATGGCCAGTGTTTGGCGTGGAGCAGGGATGTTATTTCCCATGCTGCTCTTTCTGCCACGTGAGATGGAAAAATTCAGCAGGAGTGACTCGGAGGTCCCGCTGGACCCTTAAATAGGCCTCTCATTTGAAGTCGGAATGTGAGGTGTACCTGATCTGTGGTGTGGAATGACAGTCTCAAGAGGTCATCCGGTGGTGTCATAAGCATCACTGCTGAAGGGTGAAAAGCCTTCAGTCTAGAGGGAGCATCTGACCTGGTGAGTGGCTGGGAGTCTAGTGGCTGTCACAGGTTAGGCTCGCAGGGTGAAGCCCCGGGAGGTACTGAGCTCTTCCTCTGAACCCTGTCTGATGGTTAACAAGCGAGCTGCAAGGCCAGCTATGCCCATGTGGAAAGCTCAGCTCCGAAGGGACTTTTGGACTGTGTGCTGTGTGGCGAACCCCTGGGAGAAGCAAAGTCTAGTGTGGAGCCCCCACCCACAGAAACCTTATCTTGTTGGGTGGCTGAAAGGGCTGCTGGTGTACCCAGCACAGTGTGTGCAGCCCGAGCGAGTGTCAGGCCCGAGGGTGCGGCACCGGCTATCAGCGCCCCGAGCCTGCACCCTGCAAGCTATCTGCTGGCCCCGGGCTGGCACTGCCTCGGGTGTGGCTGTGACCGCCAGGGGTGTAGCCACTGGGAGCTGAGCTGCCCCTGTCCCAGACCACACACCTGTCCCGAACCAGGAAGGCCAATTTCCGAGGCATGGAGACACTTACCTCATTGCCCTGGATTCCTAAGAAAATAGGAATTCAGCAAGTGATAAAGTGTTTGTTTTTTTAACCTTGAGGGAGCTGAGCTGATTCTTTCCTTGAAGGACAAGCCTTGCTCATGTCTGTCCCTCCTGGGTCTGTGTTTTCAGCAGCTGTGGTGACAGCTTTTCTGTGTCCTGACGTCCCTCTCGTCCTCAAGCAAGCCGCACATGACTTGCTTCCACTGTTTCAGTGCATACCTGTGAGGGACAAAAGGAAACTGAAATCGGTTGGCACATGCTTTATTTCAGGCACTGTGCCAGGTGCTGGGCATCACTTCTGTTGCCGGGGTCACTGCTGACAGCCACCTGGAGCTGGAGCTTGCTTCGCTGACCCCACAAGTATCCGGAAGCACACACTGATGTACCCGTAAGACAACACGGGCATCTGCTGCCCTTAGCAGGGACCGACTCTGTCTCGGCACTGGTCCCGCGCTGGGAGGTGCTGGCTGGCTGCTATGGGAAGCAGAGAGTCAGGTGGGAGTGCCGGGTGTCGGGAGGGCTGGCCCCCTCCTGTCCCACGGTGACTCCGTGGTCCTTTGCAAACCATCCCCTATCACCTTAGCAAAGTGCAAGGAGTGACGTTCGCTGGGTTTAACCTCCCAGACCTCATTTCTGCTTTGCAAGCCGAGCCCAGTAGGACATACTCGATTCTAGCTGTACATTTCTGAGCACGTTCGCGTGATCTCTGGCTGCAGTACAAACACCTCCTCAAGAGGCACGTCTCTGTCTCGCCACCGAGCTTCTCCCCCCCCCAAGCCCTTGCAAATCAGAAAAACAGGAGTCAGGGGCTAAGCCCCCAATCCTAATGTTTGGCCTGGACGAGCTGGAGTATTTGGGGAAGAATTCTAAAACCCGCTCTGGACTTGGCTCTGCCCTCGTCAAGCAGAGCTTCCATTTCCTTATCTATAAAATGGAGTGAATGGGTTTTGGGGGAAGATTAAAAGTAAGCTGGAAAATGCTACACAAACACAGGATGTCCCCACGCTGCCAGGGAGCCTGGCATCATATCCAAAGGTTAGGTAGGGTCTGGAAGCCAACTCTCAACTTGCAAAATTTGACTGAAACCAAGTATGCTTAATTTCACTGTCCTTAAGCAGGTGGCTCCTGACAAAGTTAGAGCTTCATTTTAAGTGGCCTGTTTGACTCAAATGCGCTAAATTCCAAGGATCTCAGGCAGATCAGAAAGCTCAGTCATTCATTTTCAAAGCGGGGTTCAGAATTCACCCTGGATGTTTGCTTTCATTACTGCTGAGGCTTCCTCCCCGAGCAGATTTCCTAAGCTTTGAAAATGACCAATTCTAGAAGAGATGAGAGCACGCAGGCTTGGAAGGTGGCCAGATGCCCTGCCCTCTGCGGCCACACAAGACGGCTGGGTGATGGGACCAGGAAGGGACTCATGTCCTGAGTCATGGAGACGGCCCTTCCCAGTGTGTCCCCATCCTGGAGTGGGGCAGGCAGACACCACTCGGGAGCAGCTCTGGTGTAGATAAATCTCATACATGTACTGTCAATCAAGAGAGAACATACGAGGGGCGGTCGGTTGGCTCAGGTGGTTAGAGCACAGGCTCATAACACCAAGGTTGCCGGTTCGATTCCCACATGGGCCATGGAGCTGCACCCTCCACAACTAGATTGAAACAACTACTTGAATTGAAGCTGATGGGTCTTGGAAAAACACACTGTTCCCCAATAAAAATTAAAAAAAGAACATATGATATGATGTGACCGTCACCTTTTCTGTGTATATTGATTGAAGCCTTGAATAACTGTAAATTCTGTTGTGTGACATACAGTCATGTCTCTAACGACCTCTTAGAAACGGCAGATTTGCTCACCTCTCTTTGGCCAGGTGTGCAGTCGCTCCTGCCACGGTGCCTCCGGGCTGGGCGGCCCCCTCACGTGTTCCCTCTCCCCGCAGAGCCAAGATGGCCGTCCTCTCCAAGGAGTATGGTTTCGTGGTCCTGACCGGGGCTGCCAGCTTCCTCATGGTAGCCCACCTGGCCATCAACGTTGCCAAGGCCCGCAAGAAGTACAAGGTGGAGGTGAGTGGGGGTGCAGCCGGGCAAGAACCTGCCTTCTGTCCTGGAGGGACAGGTGAGGAGCCCGTGGTCAGCGCTGCCAGTGTCAGGTCCACCCACTAGACAGACATTCCGCCTCTTCCCGGCAGGAAATATGGGGCCCAGCTGGGAGTAGGTGCCACCTTGTTTCTCTTTGTCTCTTCTGTACAAAGACCAGATGGGCTGGGATGAGAACAGTCTGCTTTTGGCTGGAGCTATTTGCTAGCAAGAGTGTTATTTTCTAAAAAGGGTTAAAATGGCAACGGTGTTTCCTGGTATGCCAGCTTAAACACAGTGTCTTAGGGCGATTTTCGTTTCCCCGCGGTGCTGAGGTTGGCCTGGGCTGAGACCCTGGCCATGGGGGGAGGTCTGCTAAACGCCGCCTCTAGCTCCATGGACCTAGAAGGAACATTGCTGAAGTGTGCCCTGGGGAGCGAATCTAGATGTCTGTTTCTGTTTAGCAACTTATAATTAGATGAACTAGAGCTTCTTTTAAAGTTTTCATATCTAGCTTTTTTTTTTTTAATGGCCATGTGCATTAAAATTCTCACACTCCATTTCTGTTCCCCATGAAGGGGAATCTTACAAGTCTGTGGTATTTTATGACTGTGGGGAGCAGCGATTTCCCTGTGACGTCTCGGTAAATGCATCTGAGATCCGCCAGTGATGGCGTCACGGCCAGTGGGCACAGGCTCCCTCTGTCCCATGTGCAGCTCGGCACAGACATACATCCTTAGTACTAGATATTAACAGACCCAGGTGGAATCCACCTCCGAGAGCCCAGACCCTTGTCCCTGCGAATGCCTAAGCAGACAGTGGTCCTCTGTCCAGGGGATGACAGAAGACGCTTTGGCAGAGGTTACCTTTTGGGCTGATTCTAGCTGTCAGCACTGAAGGCTGCCCTTGACCGTCTGACCCACGGCACTCTGTCTCCACAGTACCCGACCATGTACAGCATGGACCCTGACAACGGGCACCTCTTCAACTGCATCCAGCGAGCTCACCAGAACACGTGAGTGAGGGCCACAGGCACAGACGTGCACAGAGCGTGCTTCTGCCCAGCCCCCTGCCGCAGCACATACTCTGTCTGCCAAGCAGCAGCGGCAGTGGCGATCGTGGGCATTCATTAATAAAAGGATCGTTTACAAACCTTGTAAGTGAGCAGACTGACTACTAAGCAAGATGAAAGAGTTGTTAGAAGAGTGGAACTCTGGGTAATCTTTCCAAAACCGTCTTTAATGATGCATTTCCCTTCTACAGTCTGTCCCACCTAAACAGAGACGGAGTCCCGGCGCCCCAGAAGTGAGGGGCTTCGAGCTCTGTAAGGAAATCTGCTCCTAGTCACAAGGGCTTCCCACAGCCTGTTAGAGGAGGTCCCTAACGCCTCGTGTTCTGTTATCTCTGATCCCAGAGGGGCCCCTCAGTGTTTGTTTTACTCTCAAGTGTCTAACTGGGCGAGTAAAGAGGGAAAGGGTCCCCTGTCACAGAAACACTCAAATGGGGCACTGTTCAACAGGTTCTGTCTGTCTGTTCCAGGTTGGAAGTGTACCCTCCCTTCTTGTTTTTTCTAGCTGTTGGGGGCGTTTACCACCCGGTAAGTTTTTCCAGGGCGGGTTTTCATCTTGGATACTATGTATTTCATTCAGACAGCATGTATTGAAAAGAGTTTCATTCAGTGACTTCGAACAGCTCTTTCAAGTAGGTAGAATTTTCCCACAGGGGGAAACATCCTGGAGACTATGTAACTTTCTCAAGGTCAAATAGCTACAGAGTAGACAGAAGCAGAATTTGGAACCCAGAGGCAATTCTGGAAGTTCACATGCATAAGCGTTTTCCTTTGCACATTCATGCATTTGTGCAATAAACACTTACTAATCACCTGCAGTTATCTCAGGGAACCAACCAGGCAAAGTCACCTGGTTTCATGGAGCTGACTTTTAGTCACCTAAGTGTATTATGGAGTCTGTTAGCTGATGCAAGCCAGAGGAACATGTAGCAGAGAAGGCCAAACATAGTGCTGGATGGGGCGGGGGGGACGATTTTGAGAGGGGGGTCAGGGAGGAGGACCTCGCTGAAGTGACAGGGAAGCAAAACGTAAAGGAGGTGCCACGGATGTCTCCAGACATCTTCCAGGCAGAAGGGCGCAGGCGAGGCCCTGAGTAGGGCCCTGGTCTGTTTGCCAGCAGTGGGCAGGGTGAGGGCAGGCAGGCGGACAGTAAGGAGGCTGACCACGGGCCCTGGGGCCATGGAGGTGGTCTGCACCAACACTTATCTAAATAAAGCACCTTAATGAGCCTGATGACTTGCCACTTGGGTCTGGCCTTGGGCAGAAAGTGTTTCCCTTTTCAGGGGCTAGAGTTCTGACCAGCGTGCAGGCCCTTCCTAACCTCTGGGCTGTACCCGAATGTCTCTGTGCTTTTATGAGCGGCCAGAAGGGCATATCTGTAGTCATGACCTTGACGTCTTGTATTTTTTTCAAAGACAAAAAAATCTGATCTCTTAGAGAAGATATTCCTTCTGTGCCTCCAAAAAGCCCCAGTCCTAGTAAGTGATGAGAGGAGCTGGCTGCTCTAGGTCAGGCACACCTGGCGTGCACCCCACTGCACCCCCAGATCTCATTCCTCTGCTTAGTTCTTTATAATACTCAAAACCACTCTGAGGACGGTAATTATGCAATAGTCCAGTAAAAAATGGCCAGCAGGGACGACAGAGCTTGTAGTAGTGACTCACGGGACTGTGGTTATTTTTAGTTGTTTCGTGCTCATACTGATATTTAACTTTACCCCAAATCATCTAAACAACAAACAAAAATCCTAAGGTGGTAACCGTACCCCTGCTGACACCACACACTACTACACTGGAAGGCACTTGGGGACAGTGACACTCAGTGTTTCGTGTCCTCACACGCCCTCTCTCTTTTAGTCTCCCCTGACTCCTTCTGACCAAAGGGGTCACCCCAGGATGGTGCCCAAATGGAAGTTTTCATCTTGCATAAGTTTTCACTCCCTCTTCTCAAGGGTGTTGGGAATTTCCCCTCGAAGACCGCGTATTTGGGGGTTCACAGCATGAGTCACTGTCCCCACTCTTCCTAGTGGAGCCCCCCCACCTCTGCCCCCACAGCCCCACCCCGCAGCGGGGAACCTCCCCGACCGGGTGCAGCTCAGGTCGCGGCCCTGCTCCTGTGCACAGGTTCCCCTGAGACGGCTTCCTCTTCCGGTTCACCCTGCGACCCCAGGGCCTACCTGCCCTCACCTGTGCTCTGGCGCAGCTGAGGTCCCCAGGGCAAGCAGGGGGTTCCTTCTGTGCCGCCCCCCGAGGAGAAGCCAGCACTCACCTGCCAGGTCCATGAGCCCTTCGTTCATGGAAGAGCCACAGATCTTTGATTCTCCTAACCCAAGCAACCAATTGGTGGGGAGTACTTTACCACATCCATGAAATGATTAACTTTCTGATAAAACGTTATGCAAAAAACACTAGATGTTAATAAGATCTGCCTGTTCTTTTCATGCAAATCCTAACAAAGCCCTTGTGTTTCAGCGCGTAGCTTCTGGTTTGGGCCTGGCCTGGATCGTTGGGCGGGTTCTATACGCGTATGGCTATTACACAGGAGGTAAGCACATCTAGGCGTCTGCCAAGGAAACCAAGTTAAAATCTTACCCTCCTCAGCCTTTCTTCTCGGCATGGCTTTAAGAACAGGGGCTGTGACTTGATATTTGGGTGGAAGGTTGTTACCCTCTTTGTTTTTGCTAACCTCTGAATAGTAACAAAGCTTATTTTGATTGAGCATTTTCTGCCAGTCAGTTGCTGTTCTAAGAACTTGGCATGTGCCCTTTCGCCTTCCAACAGTTCTATGACGTAGATAGTATTATCGAATTTTACAGACGGGGAAACTGAGGCTCAGATTGAGGCTCTAGCTAGGTCACAGCTACTGCATGGAAACTATAAGCCAGGGTTCAAAGCGAGGCAGTCTGAGTCCAGAGCCGCTGCTAATGGTGTGCCCACGGGGGGAAAAGACAGTTTTTGCTGGACTGACATTTTCTAAGAGGAGTGAACTACGGTACGGCCAAGGTCCTGGAGCAAGGAAACTCCAGTTATTGTCCCATAGTTTTTCAAGGTCCGAGCAATCCTACTGCGATGTTACTTTGCATAAAGTTGGTTGACCTCTTAAGAACAGATGTCTCAGGCACAAGCCCAGGCTCCTTGATAGAATGGCTTGTGGACGTTCAGAGTTTCGTCAATCTGAAGCCGCCCCCTAATTTCTGCTCTGCCTTCTTTTTCAGACCCCAGCAAGCGGAGAAGAGGAGCCCTGGGCTCTATCGCCCTCTTTGGCTTGATGGGCACGACAGTGTGCTCTGCCTTCCAGCATCTTGGCTGGGTTAAAACTGGCCTGGGCAGTGGGTCTAAATGCTGCCACTGAAGAATTCAAGGGTGTTTACAAACTCATTCATTTTGAGTGACTTACTTTTATTTACAATAACATTTTTTTTTTCCTAAATATAATAAAAACTTGTCTGGCATCAGCCTCATACGTAACCCCAACTCTTATCACTTATTTCTTGTTGGGTCTTCATCTAAAATACGGAGCCTGTTCCTACTTGCTGAGGGAGGGGCCCCCGGCACGGAGCACCCCTTGTCCCCCTGCCAGCAGATGCTCGCTTAGCATGTAAAGCTGGGGAAACATCTGATTGTGGTAATATGTTCACGGTTGGGGCATTTTTAGCAGCTGTGAAAAATGGGGCTCAAAGAGGGACGGTCTTTTACTTCTAATTAGGAGCTAAGATTACTAATGCCTAGGATAACAATGAGCATTTTTACAAATCCCTACTGAAGGGTGCCTCTATTGCTTAAAAACTGAAGTAATAGGCTAACTTTAAGGGGAAATGGATAGAGATGGCTGTAAACACCCTACGCTTGGTTACTAAGATCTGATTACAAATATACACTTAGCAACAAAACATGGAAGACTGAAATAAAGGTTTTAGTCACAGATGGCTATTTACACTTACATTGATAACATTTAACGAAACAACAACAAAATCAGTTCTTAGGTGCTCTCGCCACATTCAAGTGCTGAGCAGCCCGTGAGGGTCGGACACAGGATCTGACCGCAGGCCAGAGTCTAAAAGACCGTGAGGGCTCCATCGCGCCCTGTCACTTAAAAGAGATGAGGCACTTGGGGACAGAATGCTGTGGTCCCCACCGAGGGCGGTCAGCCTTGGCCACGGGACCCCCTGGAGCCCGCAGGGCATTGGATGAGGCTGGAGAAACCAGCGCAGCACACCCTCCACTGTTAGGCTGACAAGTCCTCACCTGTGTAGAGCAAACTAAGGGAAACAGGGGTGGTTTCTGTAAAGCTGTAACTTGTATTCTTTTTTACGTTCAAATGTCTCTTTATGAAATGATGGTGATGATGAGTGGTGGGGGCTTTTGGTCCTGACTTTGAAAGGTAATATAATTAGTGATTTGTAACAAGCTAGGGTGTGTTTGTTTTTGTCTGGCAGGAGCTGAGTTTTGTCACATGGAAATTAGGGAAACACGCCGACCTTTAATCCCTCCATGCTGTGCCTCTGGCCTCCCCTGCAGGTGGCTGTGTGCCCTGGGAAGAAGGTTCTACCTCCGAGCCTCAGCGTGGCCTGCGGAAGTGGGGGTGATGACAACACTCACCTGACTGAAGTTCTGGAGGTTCCGAGCACAGCGCTCTGGTGGCTGTGGCCCAGCCAGCTCAGGGTCCCGCACACGGTGTGGGAAGTGGCAGGCACCTGCTGGAGAAACGGCATCAAAAGTCAGCGGCCAGGTTGTCCTCTTAGACTCCAAGGATCCCCCCAGTTGTCCCTTCCCTCCCCATCCCTAACAGCATTTGCCTCCGATGACATTCCCTAACTCAGTGGAAAACTGCATGGTCTCCATCCCCTTCCTCAGGCAGCGCCGCCCAGTAGAACTTTCTGACATGACGGAAGTGCCGTCGACCCTGGAACATCACGGGTTTGAACTGCGCAGGTCCGCTTACGTGGGTTTTGTTAGTGAATACAGGGGGCCCTTCCAGGCATGGGTTTCGCACCTGCAGATTCAACCAACCTTGGATGGAAAATTTTTCGCATTCCCAACCACAGATTCCCAACCGTGCATCAAAAGCGCTGTTTTCAATCTATGGTTGGTTGGATTCGCACCTTCCACCGGCCGAGTGGAGAGTTAAGTTATACGCGGATTTTCGACTGCTGCTGTGGACACACCGCGATAGTTGAGGGTCAGCTGCATTCTACCCCGGCCTTGTGCAGCCCAGCAGCCACCTCCAGGGGGGCCCAGTCCCTGAAATGTGACTACAAGTAACGAGATCGAGTTGTACTAACTGAAACGTAAGCAGCTGCATGAAGCTACTGGCTACTGTCCCTGGAGGGCACGGCTCTAAGGCACTGCTGCTCAGCCTTGGCTGTCCACGAAACTCACCCGGGCAGGACTGGTTAAGAATCCAGGGGCCGAGGCTGTACCCCAGATCAATTAAATCAGAATCTCAGTATTTTTAAGCTTCTCTGGGTAATTCTAACGTGCAGCCGAGGCTAACCATCGCTGTAAAAGCAGCACCCGGCAAAGCTGTGCGTGAGCATCAACCGGGGCTGTGGTTAAAATGCAGGCTCTGATCCCAGGTCTGCGGGGGAACTGAGATTGCAGGTGTGACAAGCAGGTGCTGCGGGTCCTTCCCTTCTGACCATCTCACTCAGACATCGAGTCTCCTCGGAGCCCAGTAACATGGGAGCTCTGGCTCTTAGAGTTTACATTCCAGCCGGAGAAGCTATCATAAGCATGTAATTTCAGATAGCGGTTAATGCTTTGATGTAAATAAACTACGGTAGTGGGATAAGGGGTGTGTATCGCTCCTTTGAGAAGGTAAATTTTTCGCCTTTAGCTTTAAGGAGCCTACATGATGAAGATGAGGGGGCAACACTCTCAGAGCAAAAGGGAACAGCAAGGTGAGGTTCCTGAGGCAAGAACGAGCCTGCAGAGTGACGAGCAGCGAACAGAGAGCGACAGAAGGTGGCATCAGGAAGAACAGTGATGGGCAGTAGCAGTTGAGACTGTATTCTACCTGCAACTAAAACCACAGTAGGAGCTTTATATAGCAAGAGGGTGACGAATTCAGACTGACTTTGAAAAGACTGTTCGGGCTGACCTGATTTTGGAGCTTTCGCAGTGTCCTGGAGCTGCAAAGGCCTGGTCTCCATGATGTCGTCGGCTGGCTTTGTCCCCTCAGACCCTGAAGACAAAAACAAAGAGAGGCCTTTGGGCATCAGAAAAACTGAGGACTCATTCTATTCAGAGGAAAGCCAAACCAGGCACAAGGCATTTCAGAGAAGCTGGCAGGACTCAGGGATGCTCTCACCTTGGCAAGAGACAGAC